CCATGACTTCATTCCAGTATTTTTTTTTAAATCTGAATATATTTTAATTTTAAGAAAAAAATAAAGGTAGACTTTTTGGTTATCTTGGTGATTGTTTATTTTTATCATAGACGATGACAGACAAGTATTGGGTTCTCTTGATAGATGATGAAATACCTGGCGATATGATGCGCTTTTAACATATTATAATCTAATATAATAATATATATATAATAAATCGATAGCCTGAAATCGAAACGCGAAATTTTGATATTTCTGCCACCTATTAAATATCCAGACGAAGTCCAAGATACCTACCTAGTGGTGATCAAACCCACGAGTCCACGACTCGTTGAATGTTAGCCAAGCATTAGACCATTGGACCAACGTGAACATTTTTTATTACGAGTTTACCCTGGGTGAAACAAATATCATTTACTCCAGGACTTAACATGCGATAAATACCTTTTTTGGCATGACATGACGTTATGGGACTGACGCAGATCTGTCGCGAACTAAACGTTTGATTTGACCGTGAAGGTTATGCGACGATAATTGTCTTACAGATTCGTTACGCTTCGATAAGCCCATTCCTTTGTCATCATACGTTGTAAAAACTTTTTTTTAAGGCAGATACCACAGACTACGCGTAATTAAGAAAACGAAGAAAAATACGATTTAAAACGCGAAATGTAATTTGTATTATTGTATGTTTAACTTATTCACAAATTATTTGTACGCCGGCCCGACGTTATTAAGTTCTGCAAGGATCCGACTAGTTACGTCAAATACCAACTACGACTGAACAGATGGCGCTAACGTAGCAGTTTTACTTTGACATCGGGGAAAAAACAACTGTATTAATGCCTGGTAATGTAAATAGCTCAATATGTCCTAGTAATAATACATATATCGATACTTCAGTTTTTAAATAACTTTCTTATCCCTAGAGAGCATGTATTTAAAGTTTTTTGGTGCTTAACTGAAAGTCAAATTTCTGAGTTGGATTCCTATACAATACTATTTTGACAATTGATATAGGGACCATTTTAAGCTTTAAATTTTAATTTTTAGTTAAAATTTACATTGTGACATAAGAACCATAGTAATTTAAGAGAATATATTTATTATTTCAGTTTTTACCAGTACTCTTAAGAATTATTTTGTCATACAGCTAAAAAATGCTTTCACAAATATCAGCATACAGTTTGAAACAATAACAATAGAGTTAAACGACTTTGGTTTTTTTATTATGCTCGTAAATCTTTATAGAGGAAATACTTGGGTCACCTTGGTAGTAAAGCATATTTCTAGAGATGAACTTAACGTTTGTTTCTGTACAGCATTAAAAAATCTAATGTTAAACGGCAAAAATAAGTAGCTAAGTATATTAATAATAAATTATTAATATATATTAATATTAAATTAAAAATAAAATAAAAAAAGTAACTGAATACACTCGATACTTCGCAACGGCAGATACATTTTTGCGTCCGTTGTACTAACCGATATATTTTCTAGTAAATTATTGTATATAATACTTTGCCCTGTCCTATCAAAACTTGCGTATAAGTAGCTTAGTGTCCCCAAGACGTAGGCTCTTTTTCTATCATCCCAATGGTAGGTAACATTACAGGAGGTGGTCAAAGGTATATTAGATGTAAGTTTTAACTAAGTAACTTCATTTATTTCGACATTCGAACCCTAGAGTACTGTTTTTGTACCAATTAAATAATTGTTTTTTTACTCATTGTTTTAGTACATTATGAAATTTGTGGTTCATCAAAATATGAAGCATACTTTCCACAGGCGTAAAAAATACAAATTCACTTAATAACTTAGTCTGTTAGCTGTTTACCATAATTACTTTAACAAGAGAAGCCCTGAATTCGCTTCCTGGGTTAATGATAAGCGATGAAATATTATCATAATTATATCACAATATACCAATACAATATGTATTATAGTCTGACACGAAAATACAAGTAAATATATATATTTTTAATTAAAAGCACAGAGTTTACTGTAACATATACATTACAAGTTTGCATAAATAACTTGTAATTAAAGATTCTTTAAGTGCTTGCATTTAAATGTATTCGTGTAAAAGGCCTGTATGCACTTTTACGGCTAAAGCACTTTTTTGCGTAAGTTATATCTGATTTAGTTTAAAATAAACTAAGGTCTTTTCTTAGTTTGTGGACATTTGAAACAGTTGTTTTCTATCCGTGACCACGGCTGCTGCATAGCATCCGAAACGTCGGGCCGAAGTTAAAAATCATTTTCAAATAAGTTTAACTAATATATCGCATTTTAAACCGTTAAAGTGCTTTATATAAATGTCTACTACTCGCGTTAACTATAGACAGTATTTCTTTTCTACCTGTGTATTAAGTTGAAGCAAATTTAATTTGATAGTTTTATTAATTTATTTGTTGTACTATGTACAAAAACTACCTTACTTTGTAAAATTTTATCTATTTGATTTTGCGTTAAAGCCGCCTCGTACGTTGCTACTCAGTTCTGTCTCCGGGTGATTGGCTCTTACACTTTTCACCTATTGAAGTCCAACTTGTGATAAGCTGGGAATGGTTACCTGACTCTGACAGGTCTGTCCACCTTTAATCCCATTGCGATCGTTAAATATTAAATAGAGTACAGTAGTTCCTATATATACACACCTACATCAAGACCTCTATGAAGTTTTACGTTTAGCCTGATCACAAAGACGCGAAAAACGCAACTTTTCGGCGAACTGTGTAAATTAATTGTTTGGTTCGCTTTTCGCATCGCCAGCTCAATTAAAAACTAAAAATATAATGGTTTGAAATGCGGAATATATTAGTTAGGCCATTGTTAATTATTTTTAACTAGGGTCCGACGTTTCGGATATTTTATAGCAGTCTCGGCTGCTATACATGTAAATATCTTGCGTTTTAAATGATACACATTGAACTAATTTTTACTCGAGCAAGATACTGACAACATTTAAATCAGCCCATTTGTTATGGTCGCTGGTCGGTCGCGATCTTTTAATTTTTGAAAATATTAGTTTACTCCTAATGGTGTTTTTTATGTTAGAAGTTTTATTATTGTCTATGCAATCTATTGACACTGCATAAAACCCATTAAGTTAATTATAAACGTACATTTCTCGTCCGTTCACATAAATGTTAAAACACGGAAGTACTCATGCGAAAACTTCCTTCCTGTACACGGGTTGTAAGAAAACCAATAAATTATTATTGCATTTACGTCTGGAGGTTATCGGCTATTGATGGGTGCAGCTTCGAATCCTGATCGATTGAAAGGTATTAATGATAACTGTAATCTGTAATTTCAGAATATTATACTTCTTATATGTCTCTCTGTTTATTTATAAGTACCTACAACCAATTTAGTTAGCTATGAAGACAATTGCGACAAGATTATTCACTCATCTATAAATCATATAAAGTTTTAAATATATTTTATAATGTCACTTGTTGCGCTTATGATTAAATCGGAGTAGCTGACTTCCGGATACAATGTGTTATTGTATTAAATATTATTATAAATTAATATATAATATTCATAATAACAATCACATGATAAATAAATACATAAATGATAACGCTTTGTATATATGTAAGTATTTTTTTTTATATTGTTAAATTCGATTGTAATTTTTGATATTAGTTCCTCGTACGTCTTTTTTAATCACCGATAGCTACGTGTATCTGTGATTATGGCCCGGGAATCAATTTATCAGTAATCCGTAAATTATCAAATGAAAATACAACTTCCTTATAGCTATAATTTAATATACAAAATATACATTACACCTTAAATCTGACTTACTATACGTTAAATATATAACTACGTCGCATTGGTATACAAAAATGGACGAACCCATTCATTAATACTTGAAAAATAATCAGTCTTGCGTCCTCTTTAAGACTGAAAATTATCTTCGTGAAAATTGTTTCAGCAATTTGACATTTCGCGATTTGGCGAACACAATTTTGTGTCCGTCACACTGATCGATTTCTTCTACGGGCTGAAGCTAAACACTTTTTCATTTTTCCCCATCAAACCTGGGACTTCTTTTATTTAGCGCAATAGGCTATGTGGTTTTCAAGATATAGAGAGGAGAGAAAAAAAGTTATTTACAAAAACACGCAGAGAACTGACGCAAAATACAGACATAGTTGAAAGACACACAGTAATTTCAACTAAACTAGCAGTATTTTAACTTTTAAAGAATAACAATATAATGTCACATAACGTTACCCAAACGTTATTGATAACACGCGCTTTGGTTTTTGATGACATCGCATGGTACTCGTACATAACTCATATAGTCATGAGTTTTATAGGACTAAACAAAAGTATAAAAAGATCGTAACAAACCGTTTTGGAGATTTTGATATGTTTTCATACATAATATGTAAAAAATACAAATATTTCTACTATACCCACTAAAACAACGTTTTGTTCACCGTACAACTATACTATACTGTTCTGCTATCAAACCTATATATTATACTGGCTGAATCAGACCAAAATCTCCAAACGATAAGATGACTAAGTTGCAAACCCCGTTTCAACCCCTCGAATATCACAAAATTGAGGTTAAACTGGCATAAAGCTAAATGCATGATTACTATGGGACTAATGACGTCACGGACTTTAATAAAAAACTGCTAGATTGCAAAATACAAACGTATTATTTAAAATCAATTCGATATTAGGCGTCCATTAAATAAAAGATATTAAATAACGCATTCACATTTTGTCAAAGCCGCAGAGTACCAAAGAGGTAGAGTAGCCTAACTGCAATTTAATGACCTGGAATATTTATATTTTATAGTCTTAAAATGTCAACCTAAGTTAATTGCACATTTTTATTTTCCTCCTTATTGAAAATTATGTCTTTGTTGTTAGGTCACTGTACCTCTAGCGGCCTTAAATAGCAGTTTGGGTTTAAAAGTATTTGATGTCATTTGATCCTTTGTGACTTGACCTATCACATGACATTATCACGCGGTAGATGCTACGGGTCTTCTCTCGTCAATGGTCGTTACTGTCGTCGTTTCAGCAGGAGTGACGTTATTTGTAACGTTACTTGATGTGGTATTCGTAACGTCCCTAGTATCGTTACTCGTACTACTCGTTACATTACTCGTATTGTTCTGAGTAGCTAGAGCGTTTGTGATTGGCTGGCTGATAGGCTGCGGGGGTGGTTGGTACGCTGGGTAGTGGATACCGACCACTTCTTCGTAGCTTGGTGGAGCCATCGCCTCTGCAAGTGATAAAGTATCAAGTTAGACACTAGTAGCAATAGTTACAGCTGATGGCCTAGGTTCGTATCCACTACGATAGATTACCTGTTATTCAACATTCATAACAATTAGGCACCAAAAATTTGTTACTTGTGAATCTTAGAACAAAATATTCGTACCGTTATTTGGAAAGATGCACTTGGCTAGTGCTGTATTCAAATGTGACACTTTTAACGGATTAAAACGCTGAATACGTGAGTTAACAATTTTTTTATTTAATTCAACTACGGCGCGATGTTTCGGATGCTTCGCAGCAGCCGTCATCACGTCGGGTCACAATTACATGTAGTACATATTTAAATAAAACCGTTAAGTGTTTTATTTACTCACGTTAACTACACCTAATACTTAGTACGGTATTTTAAGGCATTAAGCAAAAACCTTCTACAGACAAGCAACAGACAAAGTTCTAGGAGTAATTTAGGCAAGAAATTTTAATACTCTACTTTAAGTAGACCTAAGTTAGTAAATGTTTGGAAGCTTGACTCACCATACTTGGGCGGTGGGGGCAAATTGGCAGGGCTTACGTAGACAGTGGGCTCTGAAGCCGGGAGAGATGTCTGGGAACGAGAGCCCATGTACCCCCGCCTCTGCTGCGGATTGCGCGTCTTCTGTCCTGTAATAGGTGGAAACACCGTTTAATATAACGTGAATATATGCCTTGAAAACAAATCAAAAAAGATTACTTTTAAAAAGAGAATGACTTTTTTCATTGTTTCAAATGAATTAATACTAAAACTATGTAGTATTTTTCTATTCCATTTCACAATATTTAGGTATCATAGTTCTAACTTCTGCCTACCGTTATCGATCTATTAACAATTAGCATTTATCTGATCTTGTAAATCTTTATGACGTCAATTGGGGCTTAATCTCATAATCTTTGATAAACTGTGATAGGTGTCTTATTAAATGAAATTGTTTGTTGTTTAAGATTCAGGTACTTTTGACGAACTTGCGTATGTGGTCTTAAATGATAAGATAATATTTACGCCAGAGTGAAACAATGTATATTGTTATTGAATAACAAACTTGCTTTTTTTTCTAAATGTCCCTTTTTTAGATATATTTCCAATAATTTATTTATTTTTATTTATATAACTTTATAATTTACAAACACCACATTTATATTTAAAACAAGGCATTCCCGTGACCTTCCCGCGACCACGGCTGCTGCAAAGCATCCAAAACGTCGGGCTGAAGTTAAAAATCATTTTCAAATAAGTTAAACTAATATACCGCTTTTAAACCGTTAAAGTGTTTTATTTAAATGTGTACTACTCGCGTAAACAAAGTATTTAAATCTAACTTGTTCAGGAAAATTACAAATCAGACGCGGAGGAGACGAACTGGACTTGATATTTCCATATTGTGTTAGACTAATAAACTATAGACAGTATTTAATATGTGTATTTACAAATAACACTTTAAAAAAACAGTGGTCTTCATAAAGCTAGGAATATTGTGGCTGAATTCATTCGATAAGAGAGGTTTTATTGTTGTTAAAATTTTACCTATTTTAAAAACACGTAACAGCACTGACAACAATATGGCACACGCGATAAAAACAGTTAAAACAATAACACAGAGCACAAATCTTTGAAACTGTTCCCGAAATACATCTTCGTCTTCCATTGCTATACTACTTATAATACCAGTACAATTCACTTCTGCTTGACACATAATTACTAAAGTGAGATTCACTACACAGCGGTATCACTAATAACCGTTCAAAAAGCGTTTAAAACGGTTCCGTTATATACAAACAACGTGATAAATCAAAATAAACTCAAAATAAAAAAGCGTCGTTCTTTTATACGATAGTAATTTTATCGAAGAGATTACAATAATCAAGTGGGTTATGCACAAAGTAGGTACTTTTCAGGGCAGCCTACTTCGATTCAAATATCCAGGTTACATTTTTTGTGGTACCGGGTCATTGTTTATTGCTTTCAACGTTATGACAAAATGTTTTTATCATAGAGACGAACGAAAACATACAACATATGTATACCAATAATTGAAGGCAAACATATTACTGTGTCTGTTTCCCCGATGCCGTTTAGAATATTAAGCTAAGTACGAAGGAATTTGTTTCCCCGGGATTCAAACCCGGGATCTTTCGTGTTTAACGCGTTTAACCACTGAGTTACGATCGGCCAATTACACGAAAGATTCGAATTAATTTGTATTTACCGAAATTACGGTAACACAATCCACTTAAAAAACTAATGTGATATAAAGATTATTTTTACTGTTATTGCAAGATAAAAAGATCCGGGTTTATTTATTATGCACTTGTATTCGTCATGTTTTTTACCTAAGTTTGCCCAATTGTAGCTAGATGCCGAGGCGCAGCGACTTTACAATATTAAAAAAAGAGTTCTATTGTAACTAACTCCACACATAAGGCGTTTACTAAATTATTCTCCTTAATTCCAATAGTTAAATAATTGATCATAAAAAATGATAAAATCGATATCCTAATCTTATCTCGTCTGCTTGCGTCATTAGAGAACGTCATTTTCGAATTATTAAGGAAAAGTTAAAATAATCTCCTGTTTTCAGAACATTTTCAGTCATTTTAATCATAGGCAATAATTATCATTTAATAAAAAAATATTCGTAGACTTTTTCCAGTTCTCCCTGTTAGTTCTAGGACCTTGATGGAGAACTAATAGTAAATTTAAATTTAGAGTCTTATTTTAAAATTAAACTTTATTAATAAAAATATGTTTTTTATTCGGTGTGTTTGTTTGTTAGTAGATTTATCATAGATTGCTTAGATAATAACTAATACAATATATCTGTATCATAGGAAAAGGCTTCGTTTGTGAGTCCAACATATTACTTCCAACGTCCAACAGTCTACACGTTTGATAGAAAAGATTCCTATAATTATATTCTCCTTTAAAGATTATATGCTTTGATTACATTTTTTTTTTCAAGAAATTTATAAAGGCATTGTTTCGATGATAACACAAGGAGCACGGCAAAGATCCGAAAGAGATTCATTAACTAACATACATTATGGCCAGTAGAAGAAACGTAAGTTATTAAGTTTTGCGTTGCCCAATATTATTTAAGTTTTATTTGGGTTATTTGATGTGTTAAAACTCAATCATAAACACTAACAAATGGCACAATAAGGTACACAAAACAGAGTACACAGACACTAGTTAAAAATATTTATAATTATGGTTTTATATTTATATCCTTTTATATAAACACGATTTAGTATTGCGTTAAGCGCAAGGGTTCTGGGTTAAATCCAACAATAAATTTTCGGTCGGGCCAAAATTGATCAGCTGTAAATAAAACCATGAGTGAAACGTACACAGAAATGTATTCGCCCATCTCTACGAGGTGAATCGGGACTTCTCCTACAATATATAAATATAGTTAAAATAAGGGGAGTTTCCAGTTATTTAAACAAGTGCCCAGTACAAGTACTTGAAACTTTGTCAATCAAGATACAAAATAAATTTCAAAATGGTAATATGTATTCTCATTTGTGTGCTAGATAAGAAAACTATCTTGAATTTTACGCAGACTTAACTCGTGTGTAGGCTTAGCCTAAGCTTAGTTTATTATGTAAATCCCAATCGCTAAATCCCAAATTAAATAACATTAACTTGGCTAACTTTTAACCTAATCTAAGTTCTATTTATTAAGGCTTATTGGTCATCAGAAAAGAATGTGAGGGAGGCCATACGCGCGAGCATTTTAAGAGGCGTTCAACAATATTCATCATAGAGGCTTATATTATTATTTAGGCTCTAATATTAGCTGGATCGGCAAACGTTGTTTTGATGTTTTAAAAATCCGTAACAAATAACTGGTAATGCATTTCTTTCGGATCAATTTGACAATAAAAATGGTTTTTGTGAGATAAAAAGAAGTCATTGTTTCATACATATTTTTTGGAACTGTTTACAAAGGACCCAACGGAAGCCATCAAAGATGAATAATTTCCCCAGGTTTTTCCACATTTTCCACTATTTCTATATTCCTCTTGGTCACACTATATTAGATCGACTTTCTCCATAAACTTTATTCTTTAGCAACTAGAACGAACTTTTGCCAAGGGGGGCAGGGGGAGGGGGAGCCTTAAAAGTATAGTGACATATTGCAAATTTAAATAAATAATCTACATACGTAAGGTCAGCAGGCGCAAAGAAAAGTACATCACTAGCCAAATGACGATAATCAATATCAACACAAGAGTGTACCACATCGCCATCTCTGATGAACCAACTTTTTCCGGTTCATCCGGGACGGTTTCAACCGGGAAACCGGGTTCCGGATATCCGTAGCTGGGCGCCATTTTCACTTGGGAAAAGTTTGCGTAACAAACGATTTAAGTGAGCACTTTTAGTTTAGCTTTAGTTAGTTTTCAACATTTTTACACAAAGGAACGCGATGTAACTGAGATATTCGCCACTTGAAGTGGTTCTGTATCGTTTTATCTGTAGCATTGACACTATCGCGTTTAATCAATAGATATTACATGTGATCTTGTACCAGCGACGTATTATTCACTAAAAGTTTTAATTGTACTTACTCGAGTAGAACACTAACGTTTAATAAAACTTATTATATTAGTTAACTTATTCACAATTTATTTTAACTACAGCCCTAGGTTTCGGATGTATTATCATTGCATTCATGTCATTCTACAACATAAGAAACCGTAATATTAAAAAAAATTGTTAAAAACGGTTTTTATGTCTTTTTATTTTAGATTCTGTCTACTCATAAAAGCTCTGGCGTATATAGCAGATTATATTCTTAAGAAATAATAATATGTTTCCAAATTTGACTACTTCCTAGTTACTCTGTTAACCCTTCATATAATTTACAATTACTTAATCCATAATGTTTTATAGGTATATTTTTGTAATCTTTGTAGAATGTTTGGTAGAATTTATCCAAGTACCTACTAGATTTTTGGTATAGAGGCCTATTATTTTGTGTGACAGTTTAATTCTTATCGCGTCAAACTTCCGATGTTCAAGTATTATTCCAAGAAAATATGATTTACAGAAAATTTACACGATATATTACACGTCAGGATTTACCTATATTGATTTCGTGCCGAACCGGCGTATTTCTTGTATTATGATTTAGTTACAGACGATGTGACAATTAATACTAATATTTTTATAAGTTGTTACTAATGGATTATTATATAGCTGTATTTGAACAACTATTGGAACTTTAGTCGCGATATATCCAAATGTCAAAGAAAATAACAGTTTTTTTTCTACAAATTAAATAACTACTACATTTTACCACAAAAAGTAGGCATAAATCTATTAAAATACGATACATAAATACATGAGTGGTTGGTATTATATGTGATTGTCTCAATCGCCTCATAATGAGCTATTTTTAAACAATATCGAAAATGTTACAGTTAAGTTTAAAATAGTAAAGACGATCATAGACCGTTTGCGTGGTTTGAGGTCGAGGATTCGATTCGCGGTTGTGCATCAAATATCTTCTTATTAAAAAAGCGTTCCCTGGTGAAGCTAAACGCAAATCTATACGAAAAATTCTACGACATACTAATATATAAAAGCTGAAGAGTTCGTTTGTTCGAACGCACTAATCTCAAGAACTACAGGTGGGAAATGAAAAATTATTATTTTGTTCGTTAGAGCATTTATCAAGAGACGAGGTAAGCTATAAATCATCACACTGCGACCAATAGAAACAAAGAAACGTGGAGAAAACGGGGAAAATTCATCTTTTTGGGTTTCCGATGATTACGCTGCGACATCCGGTAGTTTAACTAAAATTAAGAGTATATTTACCTAACGAAGATACTTTAATGCATAAAATAACGAAGGACATGACGAGTAGGGTGGAGAATACGGAAATGTAGACCAGGGATCCCGTCGTGGGCCGCACGACTTCCTCGCTTGGCGCAATCATTTTACACTTGTCACTTTTAATTGCTTAACGCAAGCAAATAAAGTTACACTGAACTTAATGAGAATCAATTTAGTATTTTTAACACCATTGTTGTAGGCAATGATTTTAACCATAAGATTTGAATACAAATGAAAAAAATATCATCGCAATTTCAAGATTACAATCTTATATAACAATGTGCTTTAAGGTTGAAAATCGCGTTCACAAATTTGTATAACTTTCTGCACTGATAATCAGCCTTATTTCGCATGCACTAAGATTTCTTCTCTTATCTACCGGATAGGATATCGAGGATGAAAACAAATCAAAGATTGTGTATCGTATGATTTGATGAATTATGCCACCAATAATAAATTGAGTAAGGCTTTCACGGCCATCGATCAGCATATTATTGTCTTTCGGGCTGTTCGGCCGATGTGAGCGAGAAGAGGTTCTCGATGTTTCGCCATCACGTGTGGCCCAAAAGACAATAATATGCCACCAATATTTCTTAAAACTACCTACATGTAAAAAAGAAACAACACGAGGTTTAGTTTCTTCAATTTGTGGTTAGCAAAATCTAGATAAAAATTCTGTCTTAAGTTTGACTTAAATTTATTAATTTAAAGTACCCAAGATGGTTAAAATGTGTATTTATATTATTACCCTATCTGTACAGTCTAGTCTGGTTATATTATTTGCTATGTACCAACATCAAAACAATTACAGACACCTCTTAAATACACGATAACGCGTGACTAACTTCCGCTGCATTCACAAAAAGAATTAGACAAATATTGTCTTTTAAAGACAGTAGATAAGACACAAATCACGTGTTTTGATTCGTCATAGATTATATTATACCTTCAATAAATTCAATTTTAAAATGTTCTAGAAGTTTTTGAAGTGACCAATAAAAACACTCCTTTATTACTGATAGCCAATCAGTGATGTCTATGCCAATTCTTCTCTCTCACTTCCTCAACAAATCAAAATATCGGTAAGGCAATATCACGATAAAAATATGTCATACAGAACAATAAGCTTTTGATAGACAAAATCTAGCAGATTTCAGTAATTCGCGCGGTAGAAGTTAGCGAAGTTTTGCATAGTTTAATATTCCCATAGTTATATAGATTTTCAAGGCTTCGAACTATCACCTTGCTCCAATGTGGGTTGGCGGCGTATAAGGGAAACCCGAATTGAAATATATTATCGGATGACGTCATAAATAAATATAAGCGCAGCCTAATCGCCATACATTAAATCTTCAGGCTTTCAATGCACTATCAAGTAGTAGGCATTCTTGTCTTTAAAAACGTAAATAAAATTTGGCTAAGTGACAGATATCAATAAGGAAACGCCCCACTAGCTAGTAATGATAAACGGAGATAAACACAAAACAAAAGATAGAGAAGAAACTTACTGTACTGAGAGATCGCGACCAGAACCAAGACGACGACTAGGAAGATCAACCAAAATATAAAACTCGGAAACATTGTTGAAAATGTGTCTCGACCGATTACACTTGTACACAAATATCGGCGATTTTCCACACAGTTCCTTATGTACAGATTATAATTAATACATCTAATCTACGTTACTATCGTAAAAACAGCCGATAACTTTGATAAACCGTGGAAAATTAAGGTATCGATTGAATTGTTTCTTGGTATGTATTTGGCGGAATTTTTGGGGAAAATGTTTTACTTTATATGCTACGATAAAAGTTGTGATAATGACCTAATTGGTGCTATTGAACTATAAATGGTGCTTTTTACAATTCCCACAGCTGGGACTACGACCGCCCACGATTCATTTTCCACGCTTGCCACATGCGTGTAGGCTATTATCAGTATGCAGGATTTTTGCAGAAGCCGCCTTTTTCCTATAATGTCATATTTTTGACAGCACGTGTCAGACCCCTGACGTACCCTTTATGAATATTGAATTTTGTGATAAAGAGCTATTAATAAAGATGATTTACCTTCACGCTATTGATAAATGTGTAAAACCTTTGTCGGTCGAAATGTATTATATTTAATATGAAATAAATAAGCGTAATGTGGAGCTCGATTATAAATGCAGATTGATCGAGGTATCTACTAAGTACAAAGACAAACATTCTAGTAATAGCACAATTGAACCAACGGAATAATTACTACCTAGTTCTACCAAATCAAATCGCTAAAGGTTTTGCCTAACATTGCGTTAAGTAGAGGTCCGGGCTTCGACTCCCTGTAAATAATAAAAAAGTTTTGGTCGGGTAGGGTACAGAAGCCTGACCGACTTGCCTGTGAATACAACTAATTAGAGAAACGCATACAGAAATGTGTTCGCCCCATGCCCCACCAGGGAAAACGGGATTTCATTACACTAGTAGCCCTAGTAAGTATTTAGAATATAACACCGTCGCTTGAGGATTTAAACGACTTGATTTTAAAATATTCCAGATCAAACTAACTTTAAAGTTAGAAAGAAACTTACCAAAATATCGCACCAGTATACCATAGAGGAACCAAAAGATCAAAATGTTGAATACCATGAACAAGAGCAAGGCGGCGAGGTTAGACATTTTCGCTTCGCAATCGAAAACATATTAATATGCACACGTAGTTCGTTCGATATTTGTTATCGATCGCATAGAATTAAAACCGATTATTTTCGATAAGCATTTATCTATCACTTGTTATTTATATTTTTGTGCGCTTTTATAGGAAACTTTTTCTTTGAAACATTGTAAATTTTTAAGAAAAGTTACGTGATCTTTGTTATATAAATCAAGATAGCCTAATAATCTTATGTTTGGGTCTTTAAATATTTCCTTTAAACCTACGTTCGTTAAGTTTTTAAGGGCCCTCTAGTCTGTTTGTAATTCTATACTAACATGTAAACACGGCGGGAAAATTATTCATCTCTGTGGGTTTCCAATGCGTACGCTGCGAAATGCAATATATTATTTTACTTATAGGTACTCTGAAAAGCATAAACGATTCCAACAACAATGATGAAGTATTTGTCTTTATCAGAGGCAATCAAAACACAATTTACCAGCGAAAGTCTTTGTTATCACGTCATTGTTGTAATTTGCACCATAGGAAAACTAAAATGTAATAAGGAATACTAAACTTGAAGAATATTCCTTCCTTAATTATTATAAGTATTCGACGAAAACATGTATTTAACCCTTGCAATTTTTAATCGCCATATGTATATTTGTAATTTAAAAATCGAAAATAAATTGAAAAAATTTTCGACTCGGGCAGGACAAAATTTTTTTCAATTTATTTTCGATTTTTAAATTATATAGTGCCTTCATGTGCAATAAAATGTGAAAAATATTAATGTTTTCAAATGTATATTTGTATTCAAATTTATAAACGCAAATTTTGCGTTGATAAAATTATC